TATTAACTTTAGCCTCTAGAGCATCCACAAGATTTTTTGAAGGGATCAAGGGCCATAACTCTGGCAGTAATTATCGAAAATCGCTGAAAATCAAAAGACTTTTCGTCTCATTCCCATAAACCCTGTGTATAAATTTAAAGTCAATCGGATATTATCTATAGGTTCTATAGCATCCACAAGATATTTTGAGGTGATCAAGGGCCATAATTCTGGCAGTAATCATCGGAATCGCTGAAAATCAATAGGCTTCTTTGTCTCATGACCGTATAAATTTAACGTCAATCGGATATTAACCCTGACCTCTAGAGCTACCACAAGATTTTTTAAAGTGATCAAGGGCCATAACTCTGGCAGTAATCATCCAAAATCGCTGAAAATCAATAGACTTCTTCGTCTCATTCCCATAAACCCTGTGTATAAATTTAAAGTCAATCGGATATTATCTATAGGTTCTATAGCATCCACAAGATATTTTGAGGTGATCAAGGGCCATAATTCTGGCAGTAATCATCGGAATCGCTGAAAATCAATAGGCTTCTTTCTCTCATGACCTTGTAAATTTAACGTCAATTGGATATTAACCTTGACCTCTAGAGCGTCCACAAGATTTTTTGAAGTGATCAAGGGCCATAACTCTGGCAGTAATTATCCAAAATCGCTGAAAACCAACAGGCTTCTTCGTCTCATGACCTTAAACACTGTGAATAAATCTAAAGTCAATCGGATGTTACCTTTGGCCTCTAGAGCGTCCACAAGATTTTTTGAGGTGATCAAGGGCCATAATTCCGGCAGTAATTATCAGAAATCGCTGAAAATCAGAGGCTTCTTCGTCTCATGACCTTAAACACTGTGTATAAATTTAAAGTCAATCGGATATTAACTGTAGCTTCTAGAGCGTCAACAAGCAATTGTGGTTGTCGGATGGACGAGGGGGGGCGACAACAATATACGACCACATTTCAATGTGGGCGTATAAAAATTGTGATCTCTAGAGGAACCACAAGCTAAAAATGCTATTTTTCGTACAATCAAGAGCCATAATTCAGGAAGTTACGATCCGATATGCACAAAGATCTTTGTGATATAAAGTTATATTTGAAGTTTCATCAAAATCGAATCTAAATTGTGTCCACAAGCTAAAAACTCGATTTTGCGTACAATCAGGGACCATAATTCAGGAAGTAATGGTCTGATATGCGCGAATATCGAAAGGAACCAAGATCTTTGGGTTATAAACTTACATTTCAAGTTTCAACAAAATCGGATAAAAATTGTGACCTCTATATGGTCCACAAAATTGATATACCATATTTTTACGCTATCTGAGAACGAAGGGCAGCCATTTTATCTGTCAGTTTTGGGCCGATTTTCACGAAATCGGATAGGAATTGTGACCTCTATAGGGTCCACAACCTTGATATACCATATTTTTACGGTATTTGAGAACAAAGGGCGGCCATTTTGTCTGTCAGTTTGGGGCCGATTTTTATGAAATTCGAACTCAGCCGTCCTTAGGTGTAATGGTGATACAATAATACGTTTTTTTTAAATCGGATAAAAATTATGACCTCTATAGGGTCCACCACCTTGATATACCATATTTTTACGCTATTTGAGAACAAACGGCGGCCATTTTGTCTGTCAGTTTTGGGCTGATTTTCACGAAATTCGAACTCAGCCGTCCTTAGGATGTAAAGGTGATATACTAAAACGGTTTTTGAAATAGGATAAAAATTATGACCTCTACAGGGTCCACAAGCTAAAAAAGCAATTTTTCGTACAATCAGGGGACATAATTCAGGAAGTTACATTCCGATATGCGTGAATATCAAAAGGAACCGAGATCTTTGGGTTATAAGCATACATTTCAAGTTTAAACCAAATCGGATAAAAACTATGACCTCTAAAGTGTTCACAAGCTAAAAACGTGATTTTTCGTACAATCAGGGGTCATAATCCATGAAGTTACAGTCCGATACATGCCAATATCGAAAGGAATCGAGATCTTAGGGTGATAAACCTATATTTCAAGTTTCAATGAAATCGGATAAAAATTGTGACCTGTAGACTGTTCACAAACAATTGTGGACGGACGGATGGACAGGGGCGACGACAATATACGTCCACATGAAAATGTGGGAGTATAAAAATTGTGACCTCTATGGGGTCTACAAGCTAAAAACGTGATTTTTTGTACAATCAGGGGCCATAATTCAGGAAGTTACGATCCGATACATGCCAATATCGAAAGGAACCGAGATCTTGGGCAGATAAACCTATATTTCAAGTTAAATTGGATAAAAATTGTGTCCACAAACAATTTGGGACGTCCAGACGTACAGGGGCGACGAAAATATACGTCCAACATACGCGAATATCGAAAGGAACCAAGATCAGTGGGTTATAGACATACATTTCAAGTTTTTGTCAAAATCAGATACAATTTGTGACCTGTAGAGTGTCCACAAACAAATTGTGTACGGACGGACAGACTGACGGACAAGGGTGACTGCAATATACATCCACATGAAAATGTGGGCGTATAAAAACAACAATTTGTGTTAAATATGCAGAAATGCCGTGGAGTCATAGCAGAAGATGAACTATTTTTTTCACAAATGTTTCGCTTTACCCATCAAATACATGAAGACAGTCGTTTATTAGGGTTTCACACTGCGTAGCTTGTGTGAAACACTATTGTTTTTGTTAAGATTATTCTTATTATTATTATTATTTTTCTTTTTCCATTTTGATTGTATCTCAGAAACTACTTGTCGGATTGATTCGATGTCTTCGGTTTTACTGGGAAAGTGGGTGTGACTTAGAGATTAAAGCTATTTCGAACGTTCTGCGATAATGCGAAATGTCCGAAATCGAAGTTATTGTTTTTTGAAATATTGCCGTAATATTGACATAGCCAGAGACAAGGCACATAGCTACGGTTCTTTAGATTTTTTATTTTCGACAAATCTTAGGAGATATTAGGCGACAAATTTTGAAAATTTAAATTTTTAAGAAAAACTTTTTTATTAATGAATATTTTTATGTGGTATTTTGTCACCGTATTTTTCCTTGGCCCCCATTGGCTTATTTAGTTTTTCAGTCCTGGATTAATTATTTATTGTTCGATTTGCATAAAACAAAGTTCATATGCCCCGTGGTCCAAAATGTCATTTTTTTTGTTACCGGTACATTTTCCTTTCGGCAACGGAAGTGGCATAAATTTAGCAAAAACTACAATTTTGACAGTTCGGTACCACTTTTTGAAAGCAAATATTATTTTTTTCCAAATCTGGTATGACTGAAAGGGTGTGCCCTGTAAAGGCGCTGAAAACATCGGGCTCAGTTTTTTTAATTTCGATTTTGTTTTTGGGTCATTTCGATTTAAAGGTGAAAAAAGGTGAAAAAATGAGCTATTTACAACCCATTCAGGCTTTTCATGTTTTAATATATTTCTTCGCAACTTTCATAAACTTGTAGTTATAATCCATACGAAGAGAATGTATGTGAAAATTAGTTTGTAATATGAGCAGTTGCCGAGAAATGGGCAATTTTGCATGAGCCACAATTTCCACTAGTTTGCCTGTAAAAGAGTCAATTTTTATTGGATTTTCGTAAAAGTGACACCATTTGATGCGTAATGTCAATTTTAACTAGGTCAAACCAATTTAACATTTTCAATGTCACCGGAAATGACGTAATTTGGGCAAAAACTGTATTTATAGCCTTCGAAACAAATAATTTATTCAAATGAGTCGTATTTGTTATTTGTTTAAAATTTTGATATTTGATTCAAATCAACTAATAGAATGAACCCATACGATCATATAGGTATCACAAAATGGTTTCTACCTTGTTCAGTTGCGGAGAAATAGACGATTTTCAACAGGCAACTTTTCAAGGTTTTTGATCCACAAAAGAGTCAATTATTATTCGATTTTCATACAATTTTCACCGTGTGATACCTAATGCCATTTACAATTTCATTCAAGTAATTTAAGATTTTCATTATCACCGGAAGTAACGTCATTTTGGCAAAAACTGTATGTTTAGCCTTTAAAACGGATATTTTATTCAAATGAGTCTGATTTGTAATGTTTTTATTTACATAAAATTTTTACCATGTGATGCCTTATGCCATTTCTGATTTCATAACATTTTCATTATCACCGGAAGTTATGTAATTTTGTCAGGATCACTTACATGTAACAAATGTATACAATGAATTGATATTGCTGGATTTTGTTGATTCTGCGTACATTTTATTTGATGTGTGCAATGCTTATATGGAAACCTGTTTAATGGTTTCATCGGTACAGGAAGTGACATATGTTCAATGTTAACGGGGCACCGGTGAAACCCGTCATTACTGCGTCGCAGTTCTATTTCAGGAATATTATTGTCATGAAGTCGGTACATGACATGAACCAAATATGGAATATTTTGAGCAGGTGTACCTTTTTGTAGTCATATTTTGTGGTAATCATATATGTATATTAATCTATTCAGATTAAGACATTCCACATAATAAAATTACCAAGAACTATTTTTGTTGAAGTCTGCTAGAGAATAGGTGCTTAATTACCCTATTTCCTATGGGGACCTCTTTTGACCCAATTCTGGCTGGTTTGATTTAAAATTGATTAAGAACCCTGGCCATCTGGAAATTGTTGAAATTAAACAGTCTTTTTCATCTCACTAATGTAAACAAAACATAACTATCAATATCAATATCAAAACAATCAGATTATAGAGAGTGTTCACAAGAAATTGTGGACGCTGGATGGATGACTTTGACGACAATACAACCATATTTCCATAAAATCTGGGTGTTTATTCAATATTAGTATTTGTACCCTTTTAACCATGTTCACGACAACTCCAAACACAGACTTATCAATGTAGAATTTTATCTAGTGAACTCTACGCTTCTTCATGGACAAGACTCATGCATAAATAAAAAAATAATAATAAAAAATACAAAATAACACAACAAAATAAATTGAACAAAAAATTTAATAATAACCAACCACAAAAAAAATACCAATGTGGAATCAATATATGCAAAAATGTAGAATATAACTGATTAAAATATGGTCACAATACTGAATTGAGTAAAAGACTTGAGCAATCTAAAAGAAGTGTACACAATAAAAGTGCACACTAAGCTTTAGACAGGTTGCCAGGCAACAAAACATCCGCACAAAGTACATAAGTCGTCTGAGCAGTCTACAAAGGTTGTCGCCTATTCATTCTTCTGCAGGTAATGGCAGCATTTACAAGACATTAAACACTAATCAACAGCAACAGTCCAACATGTAATTATCAGAAACTGGCTTCTAGATCTTTCAAGTACAAACATTTATTACATTTATTATACAAAACATGTACCGGTTATCAAATGATAACTTTGGGTACTTGTAGTTTTTGGAAATCCTTGAAAATCAATAGGCTTCCTTGTCTATAACTTCAACATCTAGTCTCTACAAGGTTTTAAAGACAGTTTCATGAGCAATTGTGGACAACAGACGACTACTTATAACCACATTTCAATGTGGGCGTATAAATATTGACTTTTTGTCAGAACTTGGCAGAAAATTTCATGCATATACATTAAGATAATTACGGACAATCTATGGTATTCTTTTTATGCTACCATATAAACACAAAAGCAATCTAGGTACTCAACATGAAGAGAGAAAATTCAGATTAAATAATGATGAACTTAAACACCAGAAATCAACAATAAAAATAAATAAATTATGCAGAAAATATAAAAGTTAACAAACATTATTGGTTTAAGAGATTTTCCCACAAGATAAAAGAGTAAGCTGTGTATGTGGTATTTAGACTGTTAATTACCTAATTTGTCATAATATTGAAAATGTCCATGTCTCTTTTTAAACCATCTAATATAAATAGCTTACTGTATTCTGGACTAGAAGGTTTTAAACTTTGCGATTGTTGGTTTTAAATGATACCTGCAAAACACGATTGCCTAATGTAAATCCATGCAAACTTTGGATAGCCATCAGTGTCTCATCATAGTTAGTCATGGTAACAAAACCAAAGCCTTTACACTTTTGTGTTTGGAAATCACGAATCACTTTCACACTTTGGACAGCTCCAAATGGTCCAAATAACTGCCACAGAACACTATCTTCTGTATCTGGTGCAAGATTGTACACAAATATACACCAACCAGTGCCATTAGTATTAAGTGATGTAGATGATGATGATGTTGTAGCAGCTGGGGTAGTGCTTGGTAGTAATGTATTAGGTAGAAGACCAGGGTCTAGTGGTGAATATCTGCAAATATTTATAATTAAATAAGTTAAAAATTTAAAGATAGGTCGTCAGGCAAAAAAATTAATACCCATAACAGCAAAGTCAACTAACTTAAATGGCACATATCAATTTCATACAGATCAGCAGATAACTGTAGAGGTTAGAGCATTCACAAAGTGCAACAAAGTGAAACAAGGGCCATAACTCTAGAAGTAAATAAATGGAAATTACTGAAATTCAATAGGATTTTTCTTTTTACTAACTTAAATAGCACATATAAATTTCAAACAGATCGGCAGAAAACTGTAGAGGTTAGAGCGTTCTCAAAGTGAAAAGATAGGTTTCCAGGCAACAAAACATACGCCCACAGCAGCTAAATCGTCCGGGCGGTCGAGAAGAGTTGTCGTATATTTATTCTTTTTTAGGTAATTTGGGGACATTTAATAGACAATTTCATACAGAAGACATTATAATTTTCGTCGTTTGAGGGTTCACAAGTGTTCTAAAAAGTAAAACAAGGGCTGTAACTCTGGAAATAATTTACAGAAATTGTTGAAATTCGACAGGCTTTTTCGTTTTATTAATTCAGATAATGCATATCAATTTCATACAGATCGGATGATAACTGTTGTCGTTCGAACGTTCACAAGGTTCAACAAAGTAAAACAAGGGCCATAACTCTAGAAGTAATTGACAGAAATTGCTGACATTCAATAGGCTTCTTCATTTCACTAATTTAAATGATGCATATGAATTTCATACAGATTGGGTGATAACTTTTGTCGTTTAAGCGTTCACAAGATTCAATAATGTGAAACAAGGGCCATAACTCTAGATGTAATTAACGGAAATTTGCTGAAATTCAATAAGCTTCTTTGTTTTACTAATCTAAATGATGCATATAAATTTCGTACAGATCGGATAATAACTTTTGTCGTTAGAGCATTCACAAGGTACAACAAAGTGAAACAAGGGCCATAACTCACCGCGTAATTAACGGAAATTGCTGAAATTCAACAGGCATCTTCATTGCACTAATTTAAATGATGCATATCAATTTCAAACAGATCGGATGATAACTGTTGTCATTAGAGCGTTCACAAGATTCAACAAAGGCCATAACTCGAGATGTAATTAACGGAAAATGCTGAAATTCAATAAGCTTCTTTGTTTTACTAATCTAAATGATGCATATAAATTTCATACAGATCAGATAATAACTTTTGTCGTTAGAGCATTCACAAGGTACAACAAAGTGAAACAAGGGCCATAACTCACGGCGTAATTAACGGAAATTGCTGAAATTCAATAGGTTTCTTCGTTTCACTAATATAAATGATGCATATCAATTTCAAACAGATCGGATGATAACTGTTGTCATTAGAGCGTTCACAAGATTCAACAATTGAAACAAGGGCCATAACTCATGTAATTAAGGGAAATTGCTGAAATTCAATAGGCTTGTTTGTTTTACTAATTTAAATGATGCATATAAATTTCATACAGATCATTTGATAACTTTTGTCGTTAGAGCGTTCACAAGGTGCAATAAAGTGAAACAAGGGCCATAACTCCAGAAGAAATTAACGGAAGTTATTGAAATTAAATAGGCTACTTCATCTCACTAATGCAAACAACATATATTAATTTCAAAACAATCAGATGATAAATGTAGTCTGTAGAGTGTTCACAAGAAATTGTGGACGACAGACGGACGGGGGCGACGGCAATATACGACCACATTTCCATGTGGGCGTATAAAAAAGGTCATAACTCTAGAAGTAATAAGCGGAAATTACTGAAATTCAATAGGATTCTTCTCTTTACTAATTTCATAAAGATTGGCAGATAACTGTTGATGTTAGAGCGTTCCCAAGGTGCAACAAAGTGAAACAAGGTCCATAACTCTAGAAGTAATTGACGGAAATTGCTGAAATTCAATAGGCTTCTTCGTTTCACTAATTTAAATCATGCATATAATTTTCACAAAGATTGGGTGCTAACTTTTGGCGTTGGAGCGTTCACAAGTTTCAATAAAGTGAAACCAGTGCCATAACTATAGACGTAATAAACGGAAATTGCTGAAATTCATCAGGATTCTTCGTTTCACTAATTTAAATAATGCAAATAAATTTCAGAAAGATCGGATGATAACTTTTGCCGTTAGGGCGTTCACAAGGTTCAATGAAGTGAAACAAGGGCCATAACTCAAGATATAATAAACGGAAATTGGTGAAATTCAAGAGGGTTCTTATATTCACTAATTTAAATAATGCATATAAATTTCACATAGATCGGATGATAACTTTTGGCGTAATAGTGTTCACAAGGTTCAACAAAGTGAAACAAAGACCACAACTCTAGACGTAATGAACAGAAATTATTGAAATTAAATAGACTTCATACAAGAAATGTGGACGACAGACGGACGAACCGACAGGAGCGACGGTAATACACGTCCACACTTCCATGTGGGCGTATAAAAACTATAGCCTCTATTGTGTTCACAAGGAGAGATGATTGTGTAATGGAAAGTCGCAAAACGCTTAATATCAATAGGGTTCATCTAAAACAAAATAAGAAATTTTTTGTAAAATCTGGGGCCATAATCCAGGAGATGACCGTCCGATATGCGAGAATATCTACAGGAACCTAGATCTTCGGGATGTAAACATATTTTAGGTTTCATCAAAATCAGATAACCAGCAGTTGCCAGGCAAGATACGCCCACATTTTGCAAGAGATGAATGGTGAACAAGTTAAAAATAAGTGATTTTTCGTACAATCAGATGCCATAATCCAGGAAGTTATGGTCTCAAAGGATCGAATATCGCAAGGGACTGAGATATTTGGGACATAAAGATATATTTAAAGTTACCTCAAAATTGGAAAAAAATTGTGACCATGGTATTACATACTTTTACGCTATTTCCGTACAAGGAGCAGCCTTTGGGTTGTTTGGGTCAGATTTGTACGAGTTTTAGAACTCAACAACCTTTATTGATGTGTAATGGTGATATATTTAAATGTTTTTTAAATTGAATACAAATTGTGACTTCTACTAGTGGGTCCACAAGCTAAAAATACAATTTTTTTAACAGTCATATTCCAGGAAATTACCAAAATTTAAAGTTTCATCAAAATTGGATCAAAATTGTGGTCTCTAGAGGGTCCACAACCTTGATATAATTTACACTATTTGTGTACGAGGGGCATAGATTCTGAATCTGGGTGGTGATCAGGCATTTGAGGGGGCGTTTTCGAGATATGGGGGGGTCCAATGTCTACAATTGGAGGAAAATGTGATTATGTTGACATAAATGATGATCATAAATTTCTAGGACTGTCCATCTCTGTTTTGATTTGTGGGGAGGAGGGGTAGGGTGTGTAAAATTGGCGGGAAATGAGTTCATGTTGATTTAAATGATGTTTTTCTTAGAGCTTAGTTAAAACATTACTTTTTAATTCTGCTGCACATCTCTAAATATGTGTATAAGATTTCCATTGTATGGGGTGTGGAGGGGCAAAATGTATTTTTGGGGAAAGAAACCACTTAGTTCAAAATTGACTTGAAAAATGTTTTCTCGTTAGCCTGTTGGTTCAGAACCAATTTCGTCATTCAAAATATTATAATATAATGCTACTTTTCAAGAGATCTGGAATGTACATAAAAAAAACACAGTAAATCAGGCATGTTTAGATATTAGTATATTCTTATAGTCTTCATCAGAGTATTCAAAATAAAAGTTCATAATATGAGCGGGATAGATATTTTCTTGATGGCTGATCAACAGGTCGCATATATCCTTTGGATCGATATGCTTCAGATACCCATTCACATTGTAAATCTTCATTCCAGCCTTGTATCACGGGGTCATCTTGTTCGATCAATGGTTTTGCAGTCTGTCTCCATATTGTTGCATTTAATGCAGTGATGGGATTTCAAATTTTTCTTGTTGGATATTTTTACCGAAAATAATGGGACATAACTCTTATCGTTATTTAAGCAGGCAGTTTTTAGACCACACACAAAAATCATGTGTCAACAAAATATTCAAATTTGTACGTAATAAAAAATAGGTGCACCTTGTTATTTTTTATATTTAATTCCCGTACGGTATTCAAATTTATGTCAGTAACATTCCTACAAAATTGCGTGATGTTGTAATATGATAGAATGAAGCGTGCCAACTACTGCCGATCTGTATTATTTCAAATTGCTTCAAAGTTACCGTATTTTTTGGGTCATAAATCAGAAGTCTGGCATTCATCTTATAATCTGTTTCGACTTATATACTGAGGGTAAAAAAATAACATCCCGAAATTTATTTGGCAGTAAACGTCGCTCTACCACAACGAGTGAGTGACACCTTCTGCTAAAACAATTAAGTACTTGCACTATTCCAATCAACATATTCGTCAACAATGCCTAGCGTACATATTTCTTTATTTAACCAGCAGCTGCCAGGCAGGATACGCCCACATTTTGCAAGAGATGGATAGAGAACAAGCTAAAAACGAATGAGATTTTTTGTACAATCAGGGGCAAAAATCCAGAAAGTTATGGTCTGAAATGCGTAAATATCAAAAGGGACCGAGATCTTTGGGATATAAAGATATGTTTCAAGTTTCATCAGAATCGGATAAAAATTGTGACCACAACCTTTGTATTGCCTATTTTTACACAATTTGCGAACAAAGAGGGCCATTTTGTTGGCCAGTTTTATTTTGATTTTCCTGAAATTCGAATTCAATCTTCATTATGGTGGAATGGTGAAATATTTTTTTTAACCCTATCAACTCCTCCCTTAAAATCCATCGCCGGCGATCGATAAATTCATCACGTCATATCAGAAGATAGGTTGCCCACAGCAGCTATATCGTCCGGGTAGTCAACAAGAGTTGTCACATATTTTTACATTTTTCGCTAATGAAACATTTATAATACATTAAAATCTGATTAAGAGTAACAACTCATTAAGTAATTATCAGAAAACCATTAGAATTTGTTTGGTTTTTAT